CTGACTCACACAGTACCTGGACCACCAGGGACCTGACTCACACAGTACCTGGACCACCAGGACCTGACTCACACAGTACCAGTACCACCAGGGACCTGACTCACACAGTACCAGTACCTCCAGGGACCTGACTCACACAATACCAGTACCACCAGGACTGACTCACACAGTACCAGTACCACCAGGGACCTGACTCACACAGTACCAGTACCACCAGGGACCTGACTCACACAATACCTGGACCACCAGGGACCTGACTCACACAGTACCAGTACCTCCAGGGACCTGACTCACACAGTACCATACCACCAGGGACCTGACTCACACAATACCTGGACCACCAGGACCTGACTCACACAGTACCAGTACCACCAGGGACCTGACTCTCACAGTACCAGGACCACCAGGACCTGACTCACACAGTACCAGTACTACCAGGGACCTGACTCTCACAGTACCTGGACCATCAGGGACCTGACTCACACAGTACCTGGACCACCAGGACCTGACTCACACAGTACCTGGACCACCAGGGACCTGACTCACACAGTACCAGTACCACCAGGACCTGACTCACACAGTACGTTAAAAGTGACGAAAAGTCAGTTTTAGCTTCGATTGTAACCAGGTTCTGAGGCTGACCCGCCGCTTGAACGAGCCTAGCATCAAGACTATAAAAGTACTGAAACTGCGTCACCTAAATATATAACAAAAATATAACAATAACGTCACACACATTTCAGGTAACTGTCGTCCGTGTGCTTGGTAACGGAGGGTCGCGGGTGGTTACGTAATATTTATGGCGGGACACTCGCTATTACCAAATATTATTGGAGTTGGGCCAGGTAAACTGGCAGAGTTTCCGGCGGCTGTCTTGAAGACGTGCAGCTGTGTAAGGGCGGTGTTCTCACCAGGACGGAGGGAGGGGGGGGGGATATGGTGTGTGTGTGTAGGTGAGTGGGATGGTTGTGTGTAGGTGGGTGGGTGGGTGTGTGTGTACTCACCTATTTGTACTCGCCTATTTGTGTCTGCAGAATCGACCATTGCTCTTGGGTCCTGCCTTTAGGGCCATCGGGTGTTTACAGCAATGACTACGTCCATTTCCCTATCATACCTAGTTTTAATATCATGAATAGTATTTGCTTCCACAACCTGTTCCTGAAGTGCATTCCATTTTTCCACTACTCTCACGCTAAATGAAAACTTCCTAACATCTCTGTGACTCATCTGAGTTTCCAGCTTCCACCCATGTCCCATCGTTCTGTTACTATTCCGTGTGAACATTTCGTCTATGTTCACTGTCAATTTCCCTGAGTATTTTATTACGTTCCTATCATATCCCCCCTCTCCCTTCTCTTTTCTAGTGATGTAAGGCTCAGTTCCTTTCGGCGCTCCTCATACCCCATCCCTCGTAACGCTGGGACGAGTCTCGTTACAAACTTCTGAACCTTTTCCAGTTCCTTATGTGTGTTTCTTCAGATGGGGACTCCATGACGAGGCGGCTTACTCTAAGACTGGCCTCACGTAGGCAGTGTAAAACTCCCTAAATGCCTCCTTACTTAGGTTTTTGAATAATGATCTCTCTTTTGCCAGTATAGAATACGCTGCTGTCGTTATCCTATTTATATGTGCCTCAGGAGTTAGATTAGGTGTTACTCCACCCCCAGGTCTCTATCTCGCGTTGTCACAGGTATGCAGTTCCTCTTTATTGTGTACTGTCCCTTTGGTCTCCTATCACCTAGTCCCATTTCCATAACTTTACATTTACTCGTGTTGAACTCCAGTAGCCATTTCTTTGACCATCTCTGCAACTTGTTCAGGTCCTCTTGGAGGATCCTACAATGCTCATCATTCACAACTCTTTTCATCAACTTTGCGTCATCCGCAAACATCGACATGTAGGTCTCTACGCCTGTAAACATGTCGTTAACATATATTAGAAATAGAATTGGTCCCAACACCGATCCTTGAGGTACTCCACTCGTTACTGTTCGCCAGTCCGACTTCTCGCCCCTCACCGTAACTCTTTGGCTCCTTTCTGTTAGGTAGTTCCTTATCCATGCTAGGACCTTTCCCCCCACCCCTGCCTGCCTCTCGAGATTGAACAGCAGTCTCATGTGCGGTACTGTATCAAAGGCTTTCTGGCAGTCCAGAAATATGCAGTCTGCACAACCATCTCTGTCCTGTCTTATCCTCGTTATTTTATCATATTATTCCAAAATGTTTGTTATACAAGATTTCCATTTCCAGAATCCACGTTTATGTATGTTTACAAACCTAATGTTCTCCAGGTGTGCAACCAGTCTTAGCCTAATTATCCTTTCAAGTATTTTACAGGGGATGCTTGTCAATGATACAGGTCTATAGTTAAGTGCCTCCTCCCTATCACCTTTCTTGAAAATCAATTCAACATTTGCCCTCTTCCAGCAACTGGGCAATTCTCCCGACATAAGTGACTCATTAAAGATCATTGCCAGAGGCACGCTGAGGGCCTGCGCTGCCTCTTTTAGTATCCATGGTGATACTTTGTCTGGTAAACCACTTTAGTTGCATCTAGAGTTGTCAACTGTTTCATTACCACCTCTGCTGTCACCTCTATATCTGATAGTCTTTCATCTAGGGTAATCTTTCTAACAATGGGAGCTGCTCAGGCTCGGTTGTGAACACTCCATGGAAACTGGCATTCAGTGCCTCGCAGATTTCCTTGTGACTTTCAGTACATGCCCTCTCTGTCTTCTTTACTCTTGTCACTTGGTCGTTCACCGACATTTTTCTTCTTATATGGCTGTGTAGTAATTTAGTTTTTTTTTTGTTTTTTTTCGCTTTGATCGCAATGTCGCTCTCATAGTTCCTTTCCGATGTTCGTCTTGTGTTAATGTAATCGTTCCTAGCTCTGTTACATCTGATCCTGTTGTGCTCTGTCCTTTGTCTTCTGTACTTCCTCCACTCCCTCCTGCTTCTCATTTTTGCTTCCTGACACTGTCTATTAAACCATGGGTTATTATATTCCCTTCTGCTTTTGTCCTTTACTGTTGGTATAAATCTCTCTTCGGCCTCCTGGCATTTTCCGTATGACCAGGTCCATCATATCTTGGACTGTTTTTCTCTAATTTCTTCCCGCACTGCACTTCTCCCAGATAGTCCCCATATAGTGTGTGTGTGTATGTGTGTGTATGGGGGGGGGGATGTGTACTTACCTAGTTGTGCTTGCGGGGGTTGAGCTCTGGCTCTTTGGTCCCGCCTCTCAACCGTCAATCAACTTATGTACAGGTTCCTGAGCCTACTGGGCTCTGTCATATCTACATTTGAAACTGTGTATGGAGTCAGCCTCCACCACATCATTTTATAGTGCATTCCATTTACTAACTACTCTGACACTGAAAAAGTTGTTTCTAATGTTTCTGTGGCTCATTTTGGGTACTCAGCTTCCACCTGTGTCCCCTTGTGCATGTACCACCCGTGTTAATTAAATAATGCATTCTTGCCACTCTGTCAATTCCCCAGAGAATTTTGCATATGGTGATCATGTTTCCCTAGTTCTTCTGTCTTACAGCGACGTGAGGTGCAGTTCACGTAGTCTGTCCTCATAACTCATGCCTCTTAGTTCTGGGACTAGTCTAGTGGAATACCTCTGAACTGTGTGTGTGTGTGTGTGTGTGTGTGTGTGTGTGTGTGTGTGTGTTGTGTGGGATGTACTGTGGTGTGGGTGTTGCTGCGGCGTTTGTGAAGAAAGGCCCGTGGGAGGGAGAGGCCCGTGGGAGGGAGAGGCCCGTGGGAGGGAGGGGCCCGTGGGAGGAGGGGCCCGTGGGAGGGAGGGCCCGTGGGAGGGAGGGGCCCGTGGGAGGGAGGGGCTCGTGGGAGGGAGGGGGGGCTCGTGGGAGGGAGGGGCCCGTGGGAGGGAGGGGCCCGTGGGAGGGAGAGGCCCGTGGGAGGGAGAGGCCCGTGGGAGGGAGGGGCCCGTGGGAGGGAGGGGCCCGTGGGAGGGAGGGGCCCGTGGGAGGGAGGGGCCCGTGGGAGGGAGGGGCTCGTGGGAGGGAGGGGCTCGTGGGAGGGAGGGGCCCGTGGGAGGGAGGGGCCCGTGGGAGGGAGAGGCCCGTGGGAGGGAGAGGCGCGTGGGAGGGAGAGGCGCGTGGGAGGGAGAGGCGCGTGGGAGGGAGAGGCGCGTGGGAGGGAGAGGCGCGTGGGAGGGAGAGGCGCGTGGGAGGGAGAGGCGCGTGGGAGGGAGAGGCGCGTGGGAGGGAGAGGCGCGTGGGAGGGAGAGGCGCGTGGGAGGGAGAGGCGCGTGGGAGGGAGAGGCGCGTGGGAGGGAGAGGCGCGTGGGAGGGAGAGGCGCGTGGGAGGGAGAGGCGCGTGGGAGGGAGAGGCGCGTGGGAGGGAGAGGCGCGTGGGAGGGAGAGGCGCGTGGGAGGGAGAGGCGCGTGGGAGGGAGAGGCGCGTGGGAGGGAGAGGCGCGTGGGAGCTGGGTATGTGGAAGGGAGGCCAGTACCATCTGGCGTATCGTTAATTGGACAGGTGCGCTGAATGTTACCTGGGGCACGAGGGCAACCCTGGGGTATGGGCACACATGGGGCACGAGGGCACCCCTGGGGTATGGGCACACCTGGAACACGAGGGCACCCTGGGGTATGGGCACACCTTGGGCACGAGGGCACCCCTGGGGTATGGGCACACCTGGGGCACGAGAGTACACCTGGGGTATGGGCACACCTGGGGCACGAGGGCACCCCTGGGGTATGGGCACACCTGGGGTATGGGCACACCTGGGGTACGAGGGCACTCCTGGGGCACGAGGGCACACCTGGGGCACGAGGGCACACCTGGGGCACGAGGGCACACCTGGGGCACGAGGGCACCCTGGGGTATGGGCACACCTGGGGCACGAGGGCACCTCTGGGGTATGGGCACACCTGGGGCACGAGGGCACCCCTGGGGCACGAGGGCACCCCTGGGGCACGAGGGCACACCTGGGGCACGAGGGCACACCTGGGGCACGAGGGCACACCTGGGGCACGAGGGCACACCTGGGGCACGAGGGCACACCTGGGGCACGAGAGTACACCTGGTGTATGGGCACACCTGGGGCACGAGGGCACCCCTGGGGTATGGGCACACCTGGGGTATGGGCACACCTGGGGTACGAGGGCACTCCTGGGGCACGAGGGCACACCTGGGGCACGAGGGCACACCTGGGGCACGAGGGCACACCTGGGGAACGAGGGCACACCTGGGGAACGAGGGCACACCTGGGGCACGAGGGCACCCCTGGGGTATGGGCACACCTGGGGCACGAGGGCACCTCTGGGGTATGGGCACACCAGGGGCACGAGGGCACCCCTGGGGTATGGGCACACCTGGGGCACGAGGGCACCCCTGGAGTATGGGCACACCTGGGGCACGAGGGCACCCCTGGGGTATGGGCACACCAGGGCATCCCTGGGGTATGGGTACACCTGGGCATCCCTGGAGCTCTTGAGTACACCTGGGGCTCTAGGGCAACCCTGGCCACCGCTGGGCTTGTGGGCAAGCAGGAGACACGGACGATAATTAGAGTCATTAGGAGTCACTGTGAACATTTTTTTTCTCCTGTTGTATGGGGGTGAGGGGGGGGGGCGGGGCGTCTCATCTTGGGCCACCAGTTGTGGGAGTGGGGCGTCTCATCTTGGGCCACCAGCTGTGGGAGTGGGGCGTCTCATCTTGGGCCACCAGCTGTGGGAGTGGGGCGTCTCATCTTGGGCCACCAGCTGTGGGAGCGGGCGTCTCATCTTGGGCCACTAGCTGTGGGAGTGGGGCGTCTCATCTTGGGCCACTAGCTGTGGGAGTGGGGCGTCTCATCTTGGGCCACCAGTTGTGGGAGTGGGGCGTCTCATCTTGGGCCACCAGCTGTGGGAGTGGGGCGTCTCATCTTGGGCCACCAGCTGTGGGGGCGGGGCGTCTCATCTTGGGCCACCAGCTGTGGGGGCGGGGCGTCTCATCTTGGGCCACCAGCTGTGGGAGTGGGGCGTCTCATCTTGGGCCACCAGCTGTGGGGGCGGGGCGTCTCATCTTGGGCCACCAGCTGTGGGAGTGCGGCGTCTCATCTTGGGCCACCAGCTGTGGGGGCGGGGCGTCTCATCTTGGGCCACCAGCTGTGGGAGCGGGGCGTCTCATCTTGGGCCACCAGCTGTGGGGGCGGGGCGTCTCATCTTGGGCCACCAGCTGTGGGAGTGGGACGTCTCATCTTGGGCCACCAGCTGTGGGAGCGGGGCGTCTCATCTTGGGCCACCAGCTGTGGGGGCGGGGCGTCTCATCTTGGGCCACCAGCTGTGGGAGTGGGACGTCTCATCTTGGGCCACCAGCTGTGGGAGCGGGGCGTCTCATCTTGGGCCACCAGCTGTGGGGGCGGGGCGTCTCATCTTGGGCCACCAGCTGTGGGGCGGGACGTCTCATCTTGGGCCACCAGCTGTGGGAGCGGGGCGTCTCATCTTGGGCCACCAGCTGTGGGAGTGGGACGTCTCATCTTGGGCCACCAGCTGTGGGAGCGGGGCGTCTCATCTTGGGCCACCAGCTGTGGGGGCGGGGCGTCTCATCTTGGGCCACTAGCTGTGGGAGTGGGACGTCTCATCTTGGGCCACCAGCTGTGGGAGCGGGGCGTCTCATCTTGGGCCACCAGCTGTGGGGGCGGGGCGTCTCATCTTGGGCCACCAGCTGTGGGAGTGGGGCGTCTCATCTTGGGCCACCAGCTGTGGGGCGTGGGCGTCTCATCTTGGGCCACCAGCTGTGGGAGTGGGGCGTCTCATCTTGGGCCACCAGGTGTGGGGGCGGGGCGTCTCATCTTGGGCCACCAGCTGTGGGAGCGGGGCGTCTCATCTTGGGCCACCAGCTGTGGGAGCGGGGCGTCTCATCTTGGGCCACCAGCTGTGGGAGCGGGGCGTCTCATCTTGGGCCACCAGCTGTGGGGGCGGAGCGTCTCATCTTGGGCCACCAGCTGTGGGGGCGGGCGTCTCATCTTGGGCCACCAGCTGTGGGAGCGGGGCGTCTCATCTTGGGCCACCAGCTGTGGGAGCGGGGCGTCTCATCTTGGGCCACCAGCTGTGGGGGCGAGGCGTCTCATCTTGGGCCACCAGCTGTGGGGGCGGGGCGTCTCATCTTGGGCCACCAGCTGTGGGAGCGGGGCGTCTCATCTGTTGGGCCACCAGCTGTGGGAGTGGGGCGTCTCATCTTGGGCCACCAGCTGTGGGAGCGGGGGCGTCTCATCTTGGGCCACCAGCTGTGGGAGTGGGGCGTCTCATCTTGGGCCACCAGCTGTGGGAGTGGGGCGTCTCATCTTGGCCCACCAGCTGTGGGAGCGGGGCGTCTCATCTTGGGCCACCAGCTGTGGGAGTGGGGCGTCTCATCTTGGCCCCCCAGCTGTGGGAGCGGGGCGTCTCGAGTGGGGCGTCTCCTCTTGGGCCACCAGCTGTGGGAGTGGGGCGTCTCATCTTGGCCAGCCAGCTGTGGTAGTGGGGCGTCTCACCTTGGGCCACCAGCTGTGGGAGTGGGACGTCTCATCTTGGCCAACCAGCTGTGGGAGTGGGGCGTCTCACCTTGGGCCACCAGCTGTGGGAGTGGGGCGTCTCATCTTGGGCCACCAGCTGTGGGAGTGGGGCGTCTCATCTTGGCCCACCAGCTGTGGGAGCGGGGCGTCTCATCTTGGCCCACCAGCTGTGGGAGCGGGGCGTCTCATCTTGGCCCACCAGCTGTGTGAGCGGGGCGTCCTCATCTTGGAGTAATCGTTCTAACATAACGATGGTGTGCTACACCCTGGTGGCTTGTGCTGTAGTGTTATGTTAGTTCACTAATGAAGGGTACAAAGGTGACCATAGAGGCACTACAAGAGCCTCTGGTATCGGCACAAACATGTTATCTTAATAGATCTTCCAAAGGCGCTGACCGACCACTATAATTATACATGTTAATACATTTGTATTGCCACGTTAAGTGTAAGTAGTTGAATGGTGTGAAGGGATTACCACTTTATTCCCTAATGTGAGGTATCCCTCTTTCCTTGGGGCTGCCTTCCCCCAGGTATGGTCATCCCGGGTATTGGTGGGCAACACAGTGCTACCTCACGCCAGTCGACTCCATTTGTTGTAACAAATGTTGTAACTCCTTCCCGTCCTTACAACTACTTACAAATACAACTACAACCACAACCCGTACAACTACTCGCCATCATATAGCAACAGAAGCTGCTCTCTCTATTATGTTAATGGTGCCCATGTTGTTTCTACCATATTCCTGTCTGGGTCTTCTGTCATTTGGTGATGGATTATATATGACTACGACTATAATTTTTGCCCTCCAGTTGTTATTGTTCCTAATATGTAGTCACTGAAACCTTCACATCCCTGAACAACCAACTCCTCAAAATCCCAGCCTTTTCTTATCAGCAGAACTACACCACCACCACCTCTTCCTTCCCTCTCTTTCCTCATAACATAATAGTCCTGTGGGAACACTGCATTTGTTATGGTTTTCGTTAGCTTTGTTTCTGTGAGAGCTATTATGTCTGGGTTTTCCTCTAGTACCCATTCTCCAAGTTCATTTGCTTATTTGTAATACCATCTATGTTAGTGTACATTGCCATGAGGATCACTTTCTTCTGTCCCTTCTCAAATCTCCTCCTATGTGAGTGTTCTGCTGGTGGGGAAGCTGTGCAATGGGTGGGAGGATTTGTGAGGTTGATACCAGGCTTGCAGAGGATACTGGGATGAGGGGGTGGGGGGTGAAGTGAAGGGGGAGGGACAGGGAGGGTATGGTGTGAAAGGGGAGGGAAGACAGAAAGGAAAGGGAGGTTTTCTATGCAGAGGAGGGTGGTGGGGGTTGCCCTCCCCGCTGGTGTTACTGGGTAGCTGGTTGTGGGTTCCCGCCTCGCCTCTGGGGGTGATATGTTGGGAGCTGTGGTTTCCTGTTTTTCCCCTCTCACCCTGCGCTTTTTCCTTGCTTCTGCCGACATGGCCCTCTTCTCCCTCGTCATGCCCCTCTGGAGGAATAGTTTTTTAAATCTCCCACATGTTGCAGGTGGCTTTTCTTTGTTAGAATCGTCTCCTTTGTGTTCTCGTTAGCAAACACTATTTTTATCACACGGTCTCGGTCTTTTTTGTACCTGCCTAACCTAAAAACCTTCTCAATGCTATGCTCAGTCCCTTCCATGTCTAGTGTCTTCAGTATTTATTCACTGCCGCTTTGTCCTTATCATTCCACTCTTTTCCTATGTGACGGTAACGCGTTGGTGTTCGGCTGTTTAAGGCTAGGGGTATGGCCTCGTCACATAGTTATAAAAAAAATAGAAAAACTGGAACTTCGTCTGTGGTAAGGTAAGGAGAAGACACACAAAACACAAGTAAACTTTAACAATGAAATTTTAATTACGTTAAATAAATCAAAACATGAAAATAATGCACAAACAAATATGTATAATAAAATCAATGAATCAAAATAATAAGAATACTTAAATGACAAAATGAAAAGTTACGTTAAGGCAAAATAACAAGAAGTGCAACACAAAAGGTAAGTGGGAGGTGCTGGAATATTGGCTTAAAGCCACCACCTCTCTCAGTACACGCTAACGTCTAGCTGGGAGGAGTGCTGGCTACGAAAGCACGGAACATTCTGAGGACTGATGTTGGGGCGACCCCAGACATCAGGTAGTATTGGGGGCGAGTGCAGGTGCAGCCAGACCGGCGACCAATCAGCGGAGCCGTAGCGATCAACGGGTAGTTTGGTGGTTGGAGTTCGAACAGGTGGCTGGTTGCATACGTTTCTGCTCACCCTGGCAAGCCTTGCTGGTGCTGGTGTTGTTGTCGTTGTTGGACATTTCTTCCATAGTCTTTTTATATAATTGTGAAGACGTAATTTTGGAGGGAAGAGCAGGCTCAATCTCTTGAAGGAGATTATCGTCACAACTCTCCCCCGAAGCCTGCGGTTCTGGAAGAAGTACGTCGTTATGTGGTGGAGTAATGGATGGAGTCGCTTCTACTTCATAAACTCTGGAGAGGGCATCGGCTATGGTGTTGTCAGAACCCTTGATATAGCGGATCTCCAGGTTGAAGTCTTGTAAATACAGAGCCCATCGTAGAAGACGCTGGTTGGTGAATTGGGCTTGATGTAGGAAGCGGAGAGGGTTGTGGTCTGAGAAGATGGTGGTAGACCTGGCGCCTTGTAGGTACGGAGCGAAGTGTTGGAGGTTCAGGACGATGGATAGTAGCTCCTTTTCAATAGTGCTGTAGTTCCTCTGGTGTGGTTTCAGTTGTAGCTGTAGTAGCTGACAGGTAGAACCTCCTCGCCTCGTAGTTGCATCAGGACACCACCAACGCCGGTACCACTGGCGTCGACATGAAGGACGAAAGGCTTGGTGATATCTGGAGAGGCGAGAATGGGGTTAGAACAGAGGAGGAATTTGAGTTGTTCGAAAGCAACGGTTTGCTGCATGGTCCAATTATACCGTTGCTTGGGACTGGTTAATAGAATTAGAGGTGTGGCGACTGTACTGAAATTCCTCACAAACCTACGGTAGTAAGAGGCAAGACCAAGGAAGCGCAGGAGCTGCTTCCTG